TCCTAGAATATGATTTGGCCTCTAGAACTTTCAAACATCAAATGTTTGTTGTTTTCACACAGGTTCTGCTCTTCTGGCATTTACCTTCTTGCATGGAAAAACCATCTGACAAGAGGTCAAATAAAATTCATCCACGCTTTGCCAAAAATGATTTTTTCTTTGTGGTTCAGCTTTGCCTTTGAACATTAGGACTTCCAAAAACAGTTTTCCAAGTAAGAACTGATTCACTGGATATTTTTCAATTTTATAATGAGAAGAAAAACTCTCTGCATTAGCATCTACTCGAGTTTGCTGTTTTACAAGAACTCCGTGGCACTCGCCTCTGCCACTGGGATTTGAAAACACTCACAACACTTCACCTTTATGCTGGGCTAAACTCAGGGTAGCCATAAACACGCTGAAGTAATGCAAACCTAAATATTCCTGCTAGGCAAACGGAGCAGTGGAACCGAATTATAATGAGCTAGCAGCTGTCACAATACGACCACAGTAACCAAATCAAAATATCAACCGCTAACCCAGATGAGATTCAAAGGTCATCCCATAAGCCAGCAGCTTTCTTCAGTTCTGCCTGAAACCTCAATCTAATCCTGCAGTGAAATGTTCCACTGAGCTGGTTGAGAAACCAGTTACTCTATGGTGGTAAATTATTTAGGAGGGCTAGAACCAAATACCACAGAAAGGAAACTCAACCATTCGCAACGGGACCTGTAAAAACTTAGCAGCTGATGTTGAACTAAGCTGCACCCAACTGTACAAAAGTAACACTTTTCACATCCTTCAGTCACCAACCCATGTATATAATCTCACTGGGCAATGTGCTCACTTATCCTCAAACAATGTGGGTTTCAATGAAGACTCTGGAACACTAGAAGGGAAATGCATGATTCGATTCTTCCTTGGATCAAAGAGTTTAAGATAGAAAATATATTGTCTACCATTGTAAAAATATTTGGACAATTAGCTACAAAAGTTTAATGCTTGGCAAAGAAAAAAAAAGTCTAAAAAATTCCACACTCTTTGCATATATTTCTTGCCAGGATTCTCAAACTTCTATGGCATATAAATAATCATTTTAAAGACACGGGGATCATTCTCATAGCCTCTCTACCCCATTAACATATTCTGATAGCTACCCAACTGACCACCTGTGAAGTTTTAATCAAAGTGTTTAAAAACAGCAGCAAACAAGTTTCCAACAGATCAAGTGTACATCATTATCATTAGTAATCATGGGTAGTCACAAAGAAGAATGATTTGTATTCTTCAGATGTGAAACAGTATACAGAATTTCAACCAAGACTGCTGGCTTGTATCTACCCACTGGAAGTCATGAGCTAGGAACCAGAGGACACAAATTGGTCGGGGCAGGGAGTCGGCACTGAAAAGTCTCAACCCCTCCAAAACCCATCTCACACCAAAACAAGAACAAAATGCCACATCTATTTTTTTATGTAGAAATTTGCTTTTTGTTTAGTTATGCTTTTCTTTAAAGAATCAATACAATATCAACTACTAGCGGTATAACAACTAGAGAGCAATACAAAGAGAAGAAAAATATTCTAAATCAAAGAAGTGTCATTAATTCTTTTGGCATAATATGCTCATTTGTATATACATTCATGTACCCGCGCATACATATAAAGGTACACATGTATGTATACACACACATACATAAAGCACACATGTATGTTCATTTGTATATTTTCATGTTAGAGCTTAGATATAAAATCTTATTTCCAAAAGAATAAATTAGCAGATACTCTACTACTCTTATAAATTAAATCCCACTTTGCGTAAATTTGAGATAGAAATAAATAAGTTGAGCTTTAGTGTTTCTGTACAAACACAAATATTATTATCACAAAAACTGCAACATTTATGCAAAACCATTCATGTGAAATCAGGAAGTTTGTAATACAGTTTTATTACCATAAATGAATTTGTGAGCAAATATATTATCAATGCACCTATCATTTTCCTGAAATCATGTACTGCCTTAAAGAACAAAATATATAATTGACTTAAAAAGGAGAGAATGTTGTAGTAATCTTTCTTGCCTTAAAATAACATAAAACCTTATGAAGTGACTAGTTTACAAAAAAAAAAAAAAAACAAAAAAAAAAAAAACAGGTCATCTTCAGTTAATAACTCTTTCCCGTAAAATTAGTGTCACTTACTTCTGTAGCAGATGCCTAATTCACTCACAGGCTTGATTGATTTGACAATAGAGAATCTGCTCCAATAAAGTGGTTGATTTATTTCTGATACTATAGCTTTTACCCTAACGTGACATCATGGCAGCATTAAAGTCTTTGAAATGTAAAGAAATCCTTTGTAGTTTAAATCAAAGCCAACTAAAAAGTCTAAGGGTAGATTGTTTTAAAAAAACTTACAGTAAAGTCTAATGCCTTCTTTTGGTAGACAGCAAGACCCACAAAGGTCATCACAGAGAATATGGGTTTGGACACAAAGAACAGTTTGGAACACAGCCTATATTCTATGAGTTCAAACCACTGGCTACATTAATAGATCTTACTTGGTCTACATCTATAAATTGGTTGCCCTTAATTTCCCCAGAACAATTTATCTTTTCTTTGTGAAGGTGCAACGTAACACCAAACATGGCTCATCTTAGAAGTGGTTTCATTTTAAATAAACAGCAGCTTGAGCAAAATCAATGAGAATCTTTGTTCCCAGAATCTAGCCCGGAGATACTCAAGCCATGGAGGCATTGGGGGATGTGAGAAATAGCAGTGGGAAGACTTTTCAACCAACATCACAGTATCACAGTCAGTGCTCTCAAAATATTTTCTAATTCTTCTTGAAACTAAAAATGTAAGGTATTTCATACTTGTTTCAATGTCTCTTTCTCCCTTTTCCTTTTTTTTTTTTTTTTTTTTTTTTTGCACACTGCACAGTGGCCTCTCGCTCTGAGGGCGACTTCCCTGACCCGAGTCTGACACTGCACGGTTAATGTCAGATAAACCATTTAACCCAGGCACAATTCTTTTCTGTGCAAAAATCTGCTTGAGGTGGAAAATGTAGCAGTTTGTAAACAATAAAGAGCCATGTTTCAGACCAGACAGCTTATCTAACAGAGAAGTCCTTTCATTGGGAGCAGTGGGTGGGAGCCTCGTGGACATAGTAGCATTTCCTTTCACAATGCAGGAGACTGTCTTGGCCTCCATATTTAAGAGTTTAATGGGAAGGAGGGCAGACGGGATAAAAGGGCAAGGCTGACATGGATTTTCAGCTTAAACAACGACTAAGTGAAAAGAATCAGCTTTCTCTGCTCTAGACTGTCAGCCTCCTTATATTTTAAATAGTATTTGGATTGAGGAACTAATTTGGTTTGTAAAGCAGGTGCCAACAACGAAATGTGGAAAAGAGCAATCGTTTAATATGTGTGTATTGTGTGGTAAATTCTGCAATATTCATTTATCAAGAGTAAACTTTTTTACATATATTATATAAACTTCTAAATATGAGTAGTAATTTATTCTAATTTACCTACTTTAGATCACTAGAAGGTAATTTAAGGATCTTCTAAGGCAGTCTGTATATTCTTTAGCTACTACTTCTCAAGACTATCATTTTCAAATTAATCTTTATTCTATTTAATGAAGTTGCATGACGAATAGAGAAGTGAAGGTGTTAGAATCAAAATCAGTACTACTCACATTGAAGAGTATAGTCATTCTTTAATATCTAAATTGACAATCTAGTAATCTCTGCATATCCTGAAAACAGGAAACCTGATGCACCTCACTACCGACAATTATTAAAGACAAAGAATTCTTGTTTTAGTTACAACGTTAAAACACAAACATAAAATTTACTATTTTGCAGTCAAAAAGCACACAAAAATAACAACAATCTGCAACAAAACATCAATGTTCTCATAGTTGGGATGAAGCTCAAAGGCACAGCATAGGATGCTACCCATCAAAAGTAACTGCAAAAATGAGTATTTATTTCCATTATTCACTGTTAAATACCTGACACTCCTGTAGAAGGATTTGATAGTGGTTTTTTAAAAACCTTGAGTTTCACAGTATCTACACCTTAAATAACTAATACTGCTTCCAAGGTGTAAAAATCAGAACATTCTTCAGAAGCATTTGCAATTATGGTTGCAGAACGATATAATTATTGCCATGAGTTTTCCTTGGAGTGTTGTCCAACAGCTTTTGTCAAACAGTTTAATGTCATTTATCGACAAATCTGCGATGGAATTTGGCCAGGTTGAAAGATTTACATTGTTAAGAACTCACATTTACCCTAAAAAAAATCACTTTTTCAGTCAAACTAAAGTAACCAGCTATTGGGACCTTTTAAGCCATTATGAATTGTCTTTTCATTGCTCACATTACTAGTGTTATACAAGCATCCCTCTAGGGTAGTCAAAAGCAGAAAAATAAGCTAAGGATGCCCTTCAGTGTGATACAAATTCACAGACAGCCTCAAACTATTTTTTACATAGCTTGCTTTCATGACACAAGATCATTAGCACTAAAGGTCACACTCTGTTCAACACAACCAGATTTTACAATTCAACCTGACTGTACTACTCTGATTCAAGCACACTAAGCCCATTAATACTATTTATTTCTATTACCCCATTAATAAAACTGCACAGCTAACCACAGGTAAATATCACTGCCAACCAAGAGGTCCAATGCTATTTTTATTTTAAACAATCACCACGTTGCCTTCATCAACCTTAACTTACACAACCACTTTTGCAGCACTGAAGTTGGGATAGTGCTTTATATCTAAGGAGGACAAAATTTCCATGCAGATGCAGTATCACTGAAATTATTTAATCCCACATGGATGGAATGCTTAGTCCTTATGAATCATATGCTACCGATATTTTCCTACCATTTAAGTGGCTAAAACTCCAAAAAATTGAACCTCTGTCTAGGGCATAATATTCCCCTCTATAATAAAACACAGCATTCAAAACATGAATGTAAAGTTAAAAGTAATCTTACTTTGTATTCTGGAATTGACAAAAGGTGGGGAGAGATTGTCGTGTGATCCAAGGTCCCTGCTGGTCATGTGGTCATAGGGAGTCCCATCTCCATAGTTCTGTAAGTAAAACAACAATGTAAGCTTTAATTTCATATTCCTAAATTACCACACAAACATATCCCCACGATCGAAACTTCTCCCACTCAAAGAAATTGGAGCCCATTATGTCATCCCTGGAACCATGCTATAAAGAACCTGTACCTTCACAGGTTTGGTAGCAAAAACAGTACCAAAGTCTGCAAAGTTGAGATTTGTCTCATGTCTGTGAAAGTGTGGGAATTATAGCAATGGGACCAATGGCATGGAGTTGGTGACATGACTAAAGGAAATAATGTGTGGAAAACACCAGACACATATAAAGTATACTGCAACTGTGAAGTTATTATTTGATAAACCCACATTAAAGCAAGATTGTACTATAAGGGAAAACTACCTATAGCCTATAATAAATTGCTTTTAGAAGATGAAGGTAGAGACATGTAAACAAAAACATTTCGTTTTACAATATTGACATTTTAATTTGTATTACAGTAAGAGTTCACTATATAATTAACAGATAAGAATATGAATGAACAGCTAAAACTTTTAGCATAAATTAGTGTCTCTGGAGCTGGACAAAAGTTGCCACAAATAGTTTTAAAGCAATTTTTGCCAGAAATTTTTCATTGTTATAATGATCTCATTGTTTTAATGGGGATTTAAAAGCATGTAAGAGAAAGTGAAAGATCATGTGTTTTATACAGTTCAAATTTCAGTCTACTGAAGAGCATAAAGTGACCAAAAAGGGGCGGGGCGGGGAGTCATTCTGCTCAGCTGGTTGAACTGCCCATAAAGTCTAAGTCAAATTTACTTAGAGGTATCAGGTGGCAGGTTAGCCAAAGGGCAGAATCTGCCTACACAAAAAAGAGGGATGGATGCTGCAGGAGCGGTGAAAAGGCGCATCACCAGAGGGCGGCGGGAACCGAAGGACAAACAACCCTGTTTTCAATCATCTTTCTTTATGTATAAAATTAACCGGGATGATATTGTAATCCAATTCTGCCAGTATGTCCATACATAAAAATACGTCACATTTTAAAGACCCATCATGGGCTTCACACTCACGAATTCTAAGCCAGGCACTGCACAGTCCTGTTATTAAGTGTCCTCATCCTAGATAGTACACAAATCACTTAATATACATGATCTAATTTAATCCTCAGTGCAGTGCTGCAAGGGAGAAGATAATATCACCACTTTAGGATGAGAGAAGAGAGACTTGCCAAGGTTGTCTGGGTACAGTCTGCCACTAATAACCAGACTCATGCAAATTCCCCGAATTTAGAAAACACAAGTTACAATATGTGTTGATTCAAAATTATTCACTACTCTGGTCCTCGAAAAATAAATGGCAAGATAGTCCAAGTAAACTAAATTTAGAAGTCAGTCAGGATGATTCTAAATGGACCTTGTTCATTGTGCAAACACAATTAAAAGCACTAAATGGAAGAAATTACTTTGTATACTCGGTTTAACACACGAAGTATGATGCTGAAATATATACAATACAATTGTGTATAAGAATAAAAAATTAAGTGAACTGAATGAACTAAACAATAGAGGGAAGTTCAGTCATCTCCACTTGCTGTCAAAAGGAAAGGATTTATCTCTGCAAGTGCAGACTGTAACATGAGGAGGAGGGAAGATTTCCTCAGCCCATCCATATCATGCATTAGAATGTCACACTCAACAGCTGGTGGAAGGGCTCCACAACGTCGCTGGTAAGCTTAGAAATCCTGCTGTACCCTGAAGGCTACACAGAGGATCACCATGCCAAGGACAGGTGGAAATGTTCAACGACGGCTTCATTTCAACAGCTTGATTCCCTTCTCTGCCTTTTGAGATGAAATAGAGACCTTCCTTCAGTGCGAATTTATAGGCAAATGGTACCCTCCCCGCAGAACGCTTCATCTCCTTAGCCGGTCAGGTGTGGGGGCGTGATTAATTTTATTACATACACTAAGTCTGCTTTTGGTTTGGGACATTGTAAGTGAAAGGCCTCAGAATGATTCGGTTAATGACGATATATATAAAATCGTGCATAGTTAAATTGGAAGAAACACAAAAGATTCTCTGAAACAACTTCATTAGTTTACAAAGGAGGAAAATGAGGATGAAAGAGGTGACATGACATGCTCAAGGTCATACACATACAAAACGCACAACGCCTAACCTCATTCCATGGTCTTTCCATTACACCCAGAGGAACATCAACATATTGAAGAAAACCATGAAAAAAGGCAGCAAAAATGTGAAACCAAATAAATTAATGAATCCAGTTGGAAAGATGTTTACAAAAAAGTAAACCAACTAAGATTTATGACATGGATTTTACTGATAGAATTCAGCTGTCTATGTACACCCCTATGTTATAGGTATATTAGCATTTTTTAAGTTGTTCCATCTACAACAAATAACTTTCCATAACATTGAATCAGTAACTGGCAAAGTAAGGGCAATAACTTAATGAAGGATTTTTCTTCTGAGCCAAAGTAGAACCAAGTGTCCAATTTGGTAACACCATGACATAAGAGAAACTGTCGAAAACTAGACACTCTGATTCAACATGGAATGCGTGCGCGCGCGCGTGTGTGTGTGTGTGTGTGTGTGATTGTGTGTGAGTGTGTCTCTGAAACTCACCTTCAGTTTGTCAATTTCCCTACGTGGGATGTCTGTGTATGGGGACAGAGATTAGATATACTTACCCTGGATGGGCTTGGATGTCCTCCGTTCCCCCAGGACCCTGAGCTACTTCTGTCTTCTACATCTAAGGGACAAGAGAAAAGTTCTTTAGGCTTTCTGGCAATAATTCTTTCCTTTTGTATATGCACTTTTAAATTAATGTTTCAAATTAATCTCCTGTTGCCTTTAATTAAGAACCAGGCACAGGGCTACCATGATGATAGTGGCTTCTGACCCATCTACTTAAATTAACTCATTTAAATTCACAGCAGAAATGAACTGGACCCTCAGGAACCTGAGGTATGCACATAAAAATTACTTCCATCCTTCACAGCGCTTGATAGCCTCAATTTCTAGAGACATGAAAACACACTGCAAGTTTTATTCAAATCATTGGGACCAAATAAGTTGAAAAGTACAGAACACAACCTTAATGCAAAAGGAAAATTGAATTAAGGTAAATATGCATATTAACACTAACACGTTCAGTATTGTTGCCATAATGTCCGTGGATACTTTCTGTCCTTTAGCCAAGCTTTACTATACATGCATAACAGACATGTAACAGAAAATACAAGACAAAAAAAGGCACAGCAGTCAGGAGTCAGGAGTCCACCTCCACCAGCGTATTACAGGAACGGTGGGTTTTTTAATTGAGTTTCTTAGGTTAAGACAACACAGTCTCTTTGATTTGTTTTCTTCAAACTAGATATACCAGTTGGCCTTCAGTCCTTAATCTGGGCTTTGAGATGTGGAAATGAAAGTTGTTATTAAGTTACAAAGCAATGTTTTATTTTGATAAATCATGGTGAAGAGCTCAGCAAGAGTGACTGGAGAGTGAGAGTCTCTAAACTCGGTCCCAGCAAAGCCCTACAGCTGACCAGCTTACAGAATGTTCCATCCATGCTTCAAACAGTGAACACTCAGTATGGAGAGTGTAACAGCTACGTTACCATTTTAACTGCTTGGAGCACAGCAGTGTTTTAACGATCAGTCACTCTATATTTAGGAATAGCTTTGAGATTTTTGATGAAAGCCCTTTGTAAGCATAAAAAGTTTCCCCATTATGTTACTTTGATAACAGACAGTCATCACAAACATCCTCTGACAGAGCTGGAGGAGGAAGTGTGAAACACTGGTTCAGGAGACATAATCCCATTTATTGTGTTTCCTAACATTTCAGTAGTACTGTTTATTCTCTTAATGCTCTTCTGTCATTCCTTTTATTACTGCTATTTTATTATCAGCAGAAGTAATCATAGCATAATTAATTGATTTATTTTTGGATACAGTGGAGTACATGGTGTTTTGGAGTATCTGAAGAGATGGAAGAACAACAGCAACTAACTTAATGCCACTGAACCTGAACGCATTCTCTCTCTCATAACAGTATATCGATGTCTTTTAGTTGGTGCTTCCAAAGATAATGCAACTGCAAACAGATGTCCCCCATGGACACTTAAAATCAGAGCACTGTGAACTTTAAGGCATGTCAAGAAAGCTCTAGAGACTACAGCCAGCCTGAAGAAACGATGTAAAAGCTTCCCAAACCTGCCGTTTAACAATCCAACATGCTGGCCTACCCTGCATATGCTGAGTACAAGTACACAAAGTTACTTACAACCTTTTAGGAGCCTCACATGAGTAAGCCTTGCAGCCTACATGGTTCTCTTAATTCTTAAACAGAAAACAAATATTTTCAGCCAAAAACAAACCAAAACAAAAACTGTATAAACAACCACAGCAAATTTTCCAAAGTCTGATCCATCCTAAAAAACTGGATGTGGGAGGCGGTAACTGGATGGGCATCATGTCGCAGCAGGTTAAGCTACCACTTGGGACAACCACATCCATTAGCCAACAAATTGGGAAAACTGACTCCTCCACTTCCAACCAAGCCTCCTGCTAATGCGCCAGGGAGGCAGAAAAATGATGGCTCAGGTGCTTAGGTCTTCCACTCACACAGGAGACCCAGACTGAGTTCCAAGCTGGATTCCACTTGGCCCAGCCCTGGCTCTTACAGGCATGTGGGGAGTGAACCAGAAGATACTGATTTTTTTTTTTTAAAGATTTATTTGTTTATTTGAAAGTCAGAGTGACACAGAGAGAGATGGAGAGGCAGAAAGAGAGAGAGAGAGAAAGAGAGAGAGAGAGAGAGATCCTCCACCTGCTAGTTCACTCCCCAGATGGCTGTAATGGCCGGAGCTGTGCTGATGCGAAGCCAGGAGCTTCCTCCCAGTCTCCCATGCTGGTGCAGGAACCCAAGCCCAAGAACTTGGGCCATCTTCCACAGCTTTCCCAGGGCACAGCAGTGATCTGGATCGGAAGTGGAGCAGCCAGGACTTGAACTAGTGCCCATATGGGATGCTGGCACAGCATGTGGCGGCTTTACCCACCACACCATAGTGCTGGCCCCAGGAGATTTTATCTTTTCAGTTTCAGAAGAACCTAAATATGAGAAGTAGGCAGAGACTTGGAGGAAAGGCAACCATTCCGCCAGGCCAGTGGTTCTCCACTGGGGATACTTTTGTCCTCACCCCCACAGGACATTTGGCAATGTCTAGATATATTTTTTTGTTGTTGTTAACAACTTGGCAAGGTGGCAGGGGATGCTACTGACATCTTGCAGATAACAGCTGAGGACTTCGCAAACCACCTTATAGACACATAGAACTGCCCCTTCATCAAAAAATGTTCTGGCCCCAAAGGTCATTTTTGCTGAGGTTGGGAAGTCCTACCTAGAGCAAAGAGCAAGAATGGATTTGTTGAAAATATGTACTAGAATTTGATTTATAATTTAGCAAGAAGTCTTCCCAAATACAAAATATCATATATTTTAACCCAGACTTGAGCTGGAATGTTTCATGAGATCATACCCATCTTCTGTCCACTGAATAAGGGAAAAATGATGGTCAACCAGGCAGCTTGCTAATTAGCAAGCAGATAAAACACATCAAAACTTGAGTATTCCCAACTGGGCAATTTCAAAAGCGAGCAATCCACTAATTAAAAATGCTGGGAGTCGAGCTTTTTCCAAACAGGTTAAATACTGGCTGGGTTCCTTCACAAATAGAGTCTCAACCAATCGGGTCTGACTGCTCTTTTCCCATCCTTTTTTGTTTTCATCTTTCTCATTTCCTGACCTCACACTGCTGCACCTTCCTTTTTGCTTCCTCCCTTCTAAACTGCTCCCTTTTAAATAGGCTTTTGCTCTGCCCTGGCCTCCTGCTAGGTCCAGAGGATGAGGACAAATCACTAACTCCTCAAACCCAATAAATAAAACAACCATATGAACTACAATTATATTTCATATTGGGCGGGGAGGGGGTAGGATGTCCATATAACAGCTGCTCATGGCGAGAAGACACAAAGCTACAGCACGAATACTGGTAATCCACAACTCGGGCAAACATGTTACATTTCAGTCATTTGTTCCCATCTTCTCTGCCTCAGAGCTGCAACAGACCTGCCAGCTCGTCAGCAAGCATTCCCTCAGTAAGTATTCCAGAGCATCAGAAAGGGTAACCACCTGCATCTCAATCGCCTGATGCACTCATTTCAAAATCAGCCTCTGCGGGCTTGTCTCAGACCTACTGAGTCTGGAACTCTGGAGGCAGGGCCAAGAGAGCCGTGTTGTAAACAAGGTCTCCAGATAATCTTCATGCACACAGGAGTGTGAGAACCACAGGATTACTCTGCTACTGCAAATACAAATCACGGGCTGCAATGGCCTGCCTCACTCCCTATCTAAAAAATCCTGTGTGGGCTGCTGGTTTCAGAAGCAGTCAGTCCTTACTCCCATGATATCGGCATCCCAGAGATCTCTACCAGACTCACTTTTTAGGTAAACCCTGCACATGGTCTGCACTTGGCCACTCCTGGTTCCTGGCTACTGCATCTGACACTGTAACTCTTCCATACTGCAGTGGTTTTGTATCTGCTATTCCTTCTCCTGACCTGTCACTCACTTTCCAAAACACAGCAGCAGCTCACGTCTGTGAGCTTAAATATGTGTTACAGTCACATTTAAGCACCTAAATGCCCTAACAATATCCTGACTTTCTACATGTGAAAACTGAGTCTCAGATGGGATAGAAAATCTGCCCAAGGTGCTGGTGTCAATAAAGGGACACAAATCCAAGACCTGGGATGCCGAAGCCTGTGAGCGCTCTTGCCCAACCCCTATCTGCTTCCTCCTAAAAACCTTCTCTCTCTCTACAACCAGCTGGAATGTTCCTCATCCTTTCTCCCTGGGTAGGGTGAATGAGCTTATTTGGGAGTTCATACCCACTCTTATGTCCACCTAAAAGTACAGAATCATTCACAACACAAAATACATAAAATAAATACATGAAGGAATCAAGAGACTGGAAAATAAAAAGAAGAACCATGAAGCCAGAAGTAGGCAGAGTTTACGCAAATGTACAGTGATGAATGGGATATTTGCTAGAAGTAGTAAAAATTTTGGAAGCGGTTAAGTGGGCAAAGCAAAGACTGAGGTAAGATTGACAGTGACCATCAGACAAAAACCGCACAAATTATTCAGGAGAAATATAACTAATGCTGGTATTGATAAATGGAAAGTGTGTATAGAGATCCCAACATAGAATGGGACATAAATTCCCACAGCACCAATGGTAACCACAATGGGGAAGTTTGTGAGGCTAGCTGAATGAATGGCTCACTGAATACGAAGGATATTGTACACAAATCAGTATACATGCAGCTATAAAGCTGGGATATACTATGATACATGCTTTTTAAAGAAAGAAACGGGCCATCTCTCAACATCTTGTGCAGCATACAACAGTGGGTGGGTTCATTAGTTCCTTACTGAGATGAATTCATATGGCAAAAGGTAAAAGGTATACATTTAGGCATTAGAAGCATTTATACCTAGATGGTGAGACAAACTACACAGAAAAAGATGTGTGGAAAAACGGGAATCACGAAGAACTGCCCCAGAAGAAGCCAAAGACTTGGTCCTCCACTCTCCCTAATTCTGCTGCTGTCTTCCCTGAAAAAAACAGAAAATACCCTGGCAGAAGGAAGAAAAGGAAAAAAAAATAGTAAGTGGGTGATAGA